CTCTCTCTCTCTCCTTCTCTCTCTCTCTCTCTCTCTCTCTCCCTTTCTCTCCCTTTCTCTCCCTTTCTCTCCCTTCTTCTCTCCCAACACACACACACACACACACACACACGCCCCCCCCCACACACACGTCCCCACCAGACCCTACATCAACAAAGACGTTGTACACCAAGTACCACCACCCCGGACCCACTAATGGGCTTATGGGACGATGGGACTCTCCCTGAAGGTTACATCTCACTAATTCTACCTTACGTCCCTCCGGAACTTGATCCACAATCGATAGGCCAGCTTGTACACAGTCAGTCAAATTAGATCTATAAAATCCAATAAAATCGAGCGCTTTTCGCTGTTGGTTGGGTGTAGTTTCTTCTTCTTATCCGTTGCACACAGGAGACCTGAGTTCGGTTCCCGTATGGGAAGGTTTATTGTTTTCTCTGGAGTATATCAAATGAGGTAGTGCTTGATGAAGCCCACGTAGGACGCTCACTGTTAAAAACAACCAGGATACGACAAATGCAGTTTTTGAGACACCTGAATAGACACAAAGGTCTTGAACATCTAGCTCTCACTGGCAAAATTGAAGGCAAACTTGGCATGGGTAGACCCAGAGCAACTTACTTAGGGAACATAAACAAATGGGTAACGGGGAAAGATCAGGGAAACGTAGCTTTTTAAAATAAAGAGCATCCGAGCAAATGATCGAATGGAGAACCGTGATCGCCGATGTCTGCCGCACATCTGGCACTTGATGATGGTGATGATATCCGTATGACTACTGGGATGTATGCAGTGGAGTCGGTAGCCCAGTGGTTAGACCAAAGAGTCTACATAACTAGAGGGGCCACATTAAAAAAGTGTCCTAAAAATTCGGTGGCGCCCTCTTCGCAAATGCGCACCCTACTTGAGTTTTAAAAACTCAAAGTGAAACTAGCAAGTTTTTTTATAAATTTAGGAAGAACGCTTTTTAAAAAATGGTTACGCTGACAAACAAACCTCTTCCGGAGGAAAGGGTGATTGTTTTCTTCGTTTAATTTGACTTTAGAATGAAAGGCGAGAGGTCATTAAAATATTTTAAAAACCTAAAACTCCGCACTGAACTAACCCGAACTGCTGATGAACAGCAGTCAATCTGCGCACGCTAGGAGGTGCTATTCCTATTCTTCTTCTGGAAAAACGGAGAGCTTCAAAATAGACTGCAACGCCATCTGAAGCAAAGAGCGGACTTCCGGCGGACACTTTTTAGGCTGAGTGGCCCATCTTGTTATGTACTATCTTTGGTTAGACTACCGGACTCGTAATCGTGAGACTGCGGGTTCGGGGGTTCGAGCCTCAGCTCGGCCCACGTTATGACCTTGGAAATGTCACTTTACGTGAATTCCCCCTTTGCCCGGTCCTTTCGGAGATGGACGTTGGACTCGGAGGTCCCGCCTCTTAATAAACTAATAGTGTTGATAGGTAAGGGCGTTAAACCTATACCATTTAACAATTTCGATTACCAATGGGATGTTGTATCTCAGCTCCGGTTAACCATGATAAATACTGTCGAAGCAGCCAGCGTGACCAAATCCGGATCGATAGTGCCGTAAAACACTTACTCGAACAGAAGAAGCCAGCATAAATAATCTAAATTGTGTCATTTGGGGGTGTAAAACATTTACACAGTTAGTGCGATGTTGGGCAATAGCTGCCGCATTAAGCTTTTCAAACTAATATGGCGGGATGAATGCTTTTGGCCAGGACAATAACATTCTCAACAAACAATCTATCTCCTACGTGGTTCACAGCAGGGGTAATTTAGCTTGATTACCGGGTAATTAACTCCATGCCATAATGTAACGAGCACATTCCCCTGCTCTGTTCCTGCAGTGTATAATTTCTCGCACTTTTGTTGCCTTCAGACCAGCTCTAACGACCGTACTTGTCCTAGACAATCATCCGACCTTGTGCCCTTGGGAAAGGCACTTATTACGAATGTCCCATTTGGCTAGGTCCTTTCGGAGATGGACTTTAAACTCGGAGGTCCCGCCTCTTAAATGACCTGATAGCGTCGATGTAAGGGACGTTGAACTTCTAGCATTTCACCATTTCATCAAGATAACAACTTGTACAAAACGACTACTTCCCACTTTCCCACTTTCGGTTTTTTTTCTGAATATTTAACGCTGTCCAAAAAGATCACCTGACTAAGAGGACCACTCCTCAACAGTGGGTAGCAGTCTTCGACAATATCGGCTGTATTTGAATGCTGTGTATACATTTAATAAAAATCGTGTTTTGGCGGGTGCATCACACATTCTATTTCATTCATTAATTATGCTCTAATATTATAGTGATTCTAGTTGCTGTACTCAGTCATGACTAACGTGTCTATTTTTCAGGTCGTGCTGATTTTGCTTATTTCTTCCTGTACAATTAAGCTTGGTGACAATGAATATGCTGGTTTCTCCCCAGGGGAACACGGAATATATTTACTCATGCCCTCATTCTCTATTTTGCTGATGATTACGATTGTGCCTTAAAATATCTTCTCAACCAATCAGTTGCGGAATAGTATGCACTTACTCTCCAGTAAAACGTTACAGCTGTCTGTTGCGATAAGCGTGTGCGCTGACTTCTTAATTACCGTAATCATTGTGTCTGTATAGTGCCACAAAACATTCACTCAGTCTAATCTAATCGTGACAATTGGTCGCTTTTAAGCACAGGGGGACCATCCCGAAAAAAATGCTGTTTTGAGAAAATCGAAGGTAAAGTTTTTGGACCTATGAAATCTATCTTTAGAAAAGGATATTTTTCTCTAATACCAAACAAATACGCACACCAATGAAACCAATTTTCTCCTATAGGTAGGGCAATGCCCTCTTTTGGTGCAGGTCAAGATTTCTGGAAACCCCCGATTAGCCCCCTTGTCCTTAAAAGCGACCAATTAGTTGCTTAATATGCTCTTTATCCCCAGTGATACATCATTTTATTTTGTTTGCAGTAGGAAAGAACACCTACTTTCCAATTACCATAATGGTGTCGATAGTGCAATAAAACATATACTCTGATTTTCCAATTGCCACCTGATTATATCGATAGTGCTGTAAAAAACAATTAATATTTAATATGCTTTGACTTTTCAGGGTGTCGATAGTGCCGTAAAACATAACAATCCACTTAATGAACCATTCTGACTGAACACTGAAATTGATATTGTAAATACGCATGTAAATACGTCTTTACTATATTTACAAAGATTTCTATAAATGTCTGTCCGTCCGTCCTTTTAACACGGTGATAGATTTGTTACTATAAAACTTGTTGGCACTTACATGATCAAAACTGAGTCGATAGTGCCGTAAAATACCTACTCAATCAATGAACAATGGTGACTTTGCAGTGGGATATATTGTCGATGAAGGCCAAGCTGATCGCGACCAGTGTTCTGGTCAAGCTGATGGCGTCCGGAGACTGGGACAGCGTGGACACACTGACCAACGTCTACACCGAGTCCACATTCCACAAACCACGAGTTAGTCGCTCAATCCGGTGTTTCTTCAGCAGTGTCTTCTGAGTGTCTCACGAGAGTGTCTCACGAGAGTGTCTCACGAGAGTGTCTCACGAGAGTGTCTCACGAGATTGTCTCACGGGATTGTCTCACGAGATTGTCTGCAGAGATTGTCTGCAGAGATTGTCTGCAGAGATTGTCTGCAGAGATTGTCTTACGAGTGTGTCTCACGAGTGTGTCTCACGAGATTGTCTCCAGAGATGGTCTCCAGAGATGGTCTCTAGAGATGGTCTCTAGAGATGGTCTCCAGAGATGGTCTCCAGAGATTGTCTCCAGAGATTGTCTCCTGAGAGATTGTCTCGCCGGAGATTATCTCACGAGAGATTGTCTCACGAGAGATTGTCTCACGAGAGATTGTCTCACGAGAGATTTCTCACGAGAGATTGTCTCCAGAGATGGTCTCCAGAGATGGTCTCCAGAGATGGTCTCCAGAGATGGTCTCCAGAGATGGTCTCCAGTGATTGTCTCACGAGTGTGTCTCACGAGAATGTCTTGCGAGTCTCACGAGTGCCTCAAACCTGCTGCAATGTGGCGCCTTGCATCTTGTCGTGGCTTCTTTGGTGTCCTTCTGGTTTTGCTTTTTTCATGGCTGTGGCATGTTGCTTTTGAAGGTGTTGTCTTCCTGGCTTAAGTTTGAGGTCAGTGCCAAAAGGTTTTACCTACAGAAAGAATGTACTGCAATTGGAACCTTTTGACGCTGTACCATAGTTTTGGATGTATGGGTGTCTCTTACAGTAGTAGTGTGTACGTGCACCTTTCCTTGTCATTGTGAGATGCGTGATCTATGCATACTACGATTGATTTCGTAGATTCTTTTTTCTCATCCCACAGAAGAGCACTTTTTCATTCCTCAGTTGGAACTCACATTTTTGGTAGTATTATTCCCCATGTAGTACAAACGTGCAATAACCAAATGCTGATGATGAATCCGTAAACCATGTATTCGATCAATTAAACATACATGCAGACAGTTTATTTGTACGAATAACATGTTGCAGACATACACTTTTTACACACCGAGCCTTTGCGAAATATTTGCTGAACGCCCATGATGTTTGCCCATGCAGCCACTATATGCAGCTCTTGTCTGGGCAGTCGGTTGTGTCTATATTCCAACGTGGGTGGTCAGCAGGTGCTCTTGCGTGGTTTGCTCCTTCCTTTCCTGTCAAATCGCTGACGTCCGTATTTCTACCCCTTCGTTTCTATGTTACTCTCTAGTAATACCTCTTATCTTCGGCACTCGTATGACCTATTTGTCTTGCAAGTGCCGTAAAGCTCTTACTTGATCTAGAACTTTGTGAGATTCCCCTATTTCTCCTAACACGCATCTGGCAGTCGACAGCTCTATGAAAAGATATGAACCCATTATCTTTCTCTGGTTGCTTCTTTTCCCCTAATCTCCCCCCAAGCAATGTTAAGTACGTTTGGATTCAATCATTCCTTCTTTTGTCAGTGTTTTTATTTCCTCCCAGTCAAACGTCCTCTTTGTACTGTCCTGACACATTTTCCTCAGCACCCAAACCGCGACCACCTCGCGTGCCCATCCCTTTCTACACTGCCCCAGTTTGGCTACTTCGATGTACCTTTGAGAGGTACCCCACTGTATTTAGTTTACTCCGAATGAACGTGCCACTGTGCCAGAAAACCGCTCTGTGTTCGAATCGTCAGGCTTTTTATTTGTTTTGAATGAATCCTTTAAAAAACTAACTGTGAATTAGGCCAAGGTTATGATATAACATATTGGTTCTATGGAAGGACGCAGCGTACCTAGCGTTCTCGGTTGACCTGTTTTGAATGCATGGTAAAAGGCTTTCAGATCTGCGATGAAATGCGACAAGGCTGTAATGAAAAGTAAACTTGGGTGGCATTTCCGTCTTCGTGAAATTCTTGAGCGTGTTTTTTTAAAGGCGAAAACAGCAAAGTGGCGTCTGTGGTGTAGCGATGAAACGCTTTGTTATTGCACGCAGGATAGGAGACCTGAGTTCGATTCCCGAGCGGGAAAAACGTATTGAGCATCTTGGTCTTTCTGCTGGGATATTGTTTCTCAGAACTGGGTAGACACAGACAAGTAGGGTCGGTAACCCGCCACATAAATGATCTAATTTATGTCGATGGGAGCGTAAAAACGCTTACATTTTGATTTTTTTTTTTAAAGAAAGGAAACAGCAGAGAAATAAGTCTTACTGTGGCGGCGGTAAACAGCGTACTAATCTTGAGCAGACAGGCCTTATCTCAAAAAGATGTTCGGATTCCTAAACAGATTAACCCCCCAAAACACACAGTTTTCTGTGGGAGGACAAAGCCCTCTGTGATTGTTAGCTCAGCGACTTTCCCATTCACCTCGTTCCTCAATCTGATTAATTTCTCTTCCTTTCCGGACAAGACTCCCGAGTTACCTTTTCCCGAAAGCATCCGTTTATTTTGAAATGTCAGATAAACATCCTCTCCGAAATGTTCTTTAGTAATGTGTTTTTGATTCGTCTTTAGCTTTGCTTTGTGGAAATACGAAAACGCAACACAGTGCTTGCCTCTCTAAAGCAGGTTTTGGAATGCGAATGTCACGGGCATGTAGCGAAGCAGAAAGCAGCATGCAGCAGTTTTGTGAAAACGCACTGTGACTATCTTTTGATCATGATTGAATGTTGTCTAGCACAGATATGTGTCTTTTTTGTGATTAATTTCTATTTCTTCCTTCACCCTTGATCATTGGTGTGCCTCTTGTGCGATGGCTGTGGATGCTCAAAATGTTTTGTTTTTCAGTTGTCGTAGATGGAGCTGGGTAGCATGCCCCAAGTCTGTGCAGTCTTTGTTTGGTTTTACTCTTTGAAAAATATATTTCTTTACTTATTTTCTTGTTTAGTCTTCGACTTCTCCCACGTTTTTCTGTCACCCTTCCTCGGTCTGTTTTTTTTCTCCACACATTCCCCT